TGAAAGCTTCGAACTTCAGTGATGGTAGTTGGACTTGGCCATTGTCTGACAGTGCTACTTTAGACTCGTCAACTGTATTCCTCCCCAGAAACAAGTACCCCAAGAACAAGACTTTAGGAACCATAAACACACATTTCTTCATAGTTGCATACAAACTATCCCGTCGAAGTACGGTCAAAACCTGCCCTCACATGGTTGTCATGCTCACCAAAAGTAGCACTGTAAATAAGTATGTCTCAAAATAAACGACTACAAATTTTACCAATAAAGGCCTGAATAACTGGTTCATCACACGCATAAATGTACTAGGAGCGTTGATTAAACCGAAAGGCATCACCAACCACTCATACCATCCTTCACGAGTCTTGAAGGCAGTCTTCCATTCATCCCTAGGCCTAAGTCGTATCTCTGATAGTACCTGCTCTTCAAGTCCAGTTCATAAAGATAGAGGCACCGCTAATCTGGTCAAGTAGGTCATCAAGTCGAGGAATTGGAAATTTGTACCTCACCGTGATCTTATTGATGGCGCGACTATCAACACACATACGCCAAGTACCATCCTTTTTAGGAGTCAACAAAGCCGGAACCAGCACACGGGCTCATGCTCTCCCGACATGTGACCTTTTGAAAATCAAGTCCTCCACCTGTCGTCGCAACTCCTCATGCTCTCCGGGACTCATTCTGTAATGTGGCCTATTAGGCAACTGAGCTCCTGGTTGTAAATCAATATGATGCTGGATGTCACGTAAAGGTGGCAAACCATCATGTAATTCATTAGGGGACAACATCAGCGAATTCCTTGAGCAGAGGAACATAGCCTCAGGAATTTCAACCTCCTTAGCCGCTTCCTTTCCCGAGCAATACAAAAATTTCACCTTCCGCCTCCAACTCGTCTTCAAACTGATAAGGGTCAGTAGAGTACCCGAAGGTCTCGGAACTGGCTCCTTTGGCTTACTGGGACCAATGTTATCTTCACACCACCAAACAAGAAACTTAGTATTAGCCCGCCCGTTATGATCTATGTTACGATCATACTCCCAAGGTCTGCCCAACAAACAAATGACAAGCATCCATAGCAACCACATCACCCCACATCATCTTTATACGTGGTACCAACAGAAAATTGAACAAAGGGCTCGTTTAGATACAGTGACTCGCCCCCCTTCTTAAGCCACTGTAGCTTGTAAGGCTTAGGGCGATTTTCTTGTTTTCAAGCCCACTTTTGAACTGCTTCTTCAGATATAAGGTTTATCACAACTTCCTGAATCAATAACAAAAGTACAAAACCTTTCCCAAAATAGTACATGTCGACTGAAAGATGTTGTGTTTGAGTCAATCATCACCAATAACTTTGGTGTAAAACAAGACCGCCTTACCACCAAATTTACCCCCACATCTCCAGTACAACTTCCTCTTCGCATGATGCTCTTCGTCATACACAGGGGGATCTTCGTAATTTTCACCGGCGTCATCATTTTGCCAATCATCTTGCTCAGCAAACAAATGACGTTTTCCGACCTTCTTGCACTCTGATTGTCGGTGACCTGTCTCCCCACAACTAAAACACTTCAAGCTGCTACTAACAGTTTGTCTTAGGATTTGGTCCAACACTGTTAGATGTCGGTCTTTGTTGATTAGGCACAACAGGGGTACCATACCACCCGTCCCGGAATTCCTCCAATATTAGCCAGTGAAGACGAACCGCCCACCCGACGACTTTGTTTCTCAAAAGCCAACGCCCGTTGGTGCGCTTCAGAAATAGATACCGGGTCAAACATTTACAGAGTCCATGATTTGGACCCGTAGACCCCCAATATACGAGCAACGAGTTGTTCCTCTGTCTCCTGGATATCGTTTCGAGCAATCAATTGGTAGAACTCAGTTGTGTAATCGTCAACTGATTTAGCACCCTGCTTCAGATTTTGCAACCGTTGGTACATCAACCTTTGAAAGTTATGGGTAGGAAGTTGGATCGTAAAACACTTCTTCATCTTCCTCCAAGTCACGACCTTTGACTTTCCGAGCCTGTCTCGTGTCAGTTTCAGTTGTTGCCACCATGCAGATGCCCTACCACGTAGCCTGGTAGCAATCAATGACACTCTTTTGTTTTTAGGGACTTCTTTGAACTGAAAAACTTCCTCAACAGTAGCCAAGCAGTCGATGAACCCCTCCGGATTCAAACTGACCCCATCGAATACTGGGATATCAATTCTCATTCCGGCCTCCAACGCCTATTGTCACCTCTATGATCACGCCTTGGCCGCCTTTCTAGATCGTCTTCAGAATATGAACCGTCACTGCCGCCGAACGGGTTCCCAAATTCACCATCTTCCACTTGAGAATGTGTTCGAGACCTTTGCCCTCCTCGATTCATCAGTTCGACCATCCTATCAGTCAGTTGGTCAACCATTTGATCCATCCTCTCCTCCATTCGTACCATAATACGTTCTTCTAGTTCTTGCTCATGAACATTAGCGGGCGTCCTGTTTCTCCTCGGAGGCATTTTGAACCAGGAATTCGGCTCTGATACCAACTGATGCAGCGCAAAAAAACAACACAAAGATAACCAAGAATGAACCTGTTGATTCTAAAAGAATAGCCAGGACAATCTCTTCAAAACCACGTTGATTCTACGAATACCGTGGGATTGACTTCAAAATCTGGGTTAACACACAGAATTTGGGAGAAAATCGAAAGTTCATAAAATTAATGATCGACCATCCAAATTACATCAAAAACAGTTAAATAAGAAGCAGAGATTCGTAGCCAAAGTTATGGCCATTTCCGTGAAGCCGCCTTTAGTCACATGATCGTGGGCCTCTAGGAATGCAAGGGCCCGATCCTCCATACTAGGGCCCGCATCACCTTTTTACCCTTCCTCAAGCTTGGTCCAAGGCCAAGGCCCAAACTAGATGACAAAAGGCCCTAAATCATAATAAACTCCTTAAGTCCAATTATGGCCCAATTTTCCTAATTGGGCCTAATTCCTTTCAAGGCCTTCACTCAAGAAGATCCAGCAAGCTAAAAACCCAAACCGAAAAATCCCAGATGGCCCAACACAGCCCAAAGCAAACCAAACCCGAATCGTGATCCAAAAAAGGTTCAAATTACTTTAAGGCCCACACTTGGCCCAATTTTGCAAATTGGGCCCAACTCCTTATTGGGCCTTATCCAAAGGTCTGATCCTCTAATTAGCCCAAAACACACTTATCCAGATAGTCGATTAGGGCCCAAGTATCAATGCCCAACAGATAGACCAATACCCGAAGCGCAAAGCAAAGGAGCCCAAAATAGTCGCGTATGTGGGGCGTACGCCAGAGGTACGCTCAGCGTACACGAGACCTCGCATTGACCAACTTACGGGGAGGCTGACCAAGTACGCGGGGCATACACCTCCCTACACGGGGCGTACCCTCGCAGATCTAAAAGTCCAAAATGTGCTTAAAGGCTTAAGCACTTAAGCCCAAATTACAGATCCATGGTCCAAATGCACCTTAGAGTCATAAAGTCTCCAACTTTATGACTTCACACGTCCAAAAGTTCTTAATACAAGGTCTTAATCCATTTAGACCCTTCTACCAACTGCATGATACACTTCTGGCCATTGGGACCTCATTTTTATGACTAATGACCATTCCTAGGGTCTGAAAGGACAGTTCAAATCTTCTAAAACAAAACATGCACAAAATGGGACTTTTTGGGACAAAAGAATGCCATAAAGCTACCAAGATGAGATCCAAGCAAACCATGCATAAAGGTAGTAGCTTTTTACCTTATGGAGCTTCCAAAGGAGATGATGTTTCAAAATCTATAAGCTTACTTTCCTTCCTTGGCTCCTTGATGTACTTCCTTCTCCTTTAAGCACACTAATTAGACACTTTAAGCCCAAAACACTCTCATATGGGGTTAGGGTTTGCTAAGAATGACTCAAGAACTTGGAGGCTGGGAGAGTGGGGTAAATGATTCATAAAGGTGCTTAAATACCCTTCAAACCCTAAAAATTAGGGTTTCGTCCTGAAGCTAGTGCGCCCAGCATACTAGGGCACGCCATGTCGTCAGAACAAGTTAGACGTGAGCAAAAGCAGAATTAGGTACACTTTAGAAATGATATGGCGACGATACATCGTTGCAACAAAACAAAATGTAATTTTTTTAATCAAGTTTCTTAAGCATTGTGGCCACGTCGGTTCACTTAAGGGTGTGATGATGTGCAAAGTGCTAGCCAAGATGATTAAATTAGATAACATATATATGGTTAAATTGTATGAAACTTTTAATCAATTTCCTAAGATATTTTAAATGTTTTGGTAAACAACTCGTATGAAATTTTTATTAGAATTGAATTGAGTGTATATGATATTTTTAGTGTTTTTTTTTTAATTAAATTTACAGGGTTAATTCATAAAATGACGACCATTAAGGAAGTTATCTTTTAATTATATTATATACGATTACTAAACTATATTGTGTGTTCTTATTACTCCATTAGAATGAATTTTAATATGTAAGATGTCAATGCAAAGTTAGCGCCAAGAAGAAATTATGTCATATTAAATGTCACAGTAGACGACACACGACACATAGACGACACATATGGTTACAACAAAAGGGGTCTATAGCCACGAAGTTGTGGCGACATAGTCTATGGCAACGACATGTCGCCACATGTACCTATAGCGATGACAATGATCACACCTATACCTTTCCAAATATACATGACCAACAGCCCAAGAACATGTTTACATAAACTACTAGACATTTTCGATCCAACCTGATGTGTTAGATTGACGTGTTACAGTCGACTTCAGATACAACATTAAGTTGTTGATGACTAGATGGTATAACAAAACATAAATTATCTACACAACATACCAGAAAACTCTCAGTTTGAAAATAATGACTATTATATTAGTTTTCAAAATGTTAATCAACCATTATAATATTAAAGTCAAGTTAAATCTAGCTAACCATTAGAGTTATCAAAAAATAATTGTTTCAAATTATGAGATAAGTTTTGCCTTTTTCGCTTCAGGAACTTCATCATTACCACCATCACTTTGCTCTTTAGCTGTATCCTCCTCCGTCTTCTTCCGTTTCAAAAAGTTCACAACTCCCTCCAACACAATCTCCTGATCGTCGGACTTCATGAGTTCCTCCGCCACCTCCGCTGGTGTAACATTGGTGCCATTGATTAATTCTTCAATTTCAGTAAACCTCAAATGGTGATCATGAATGTTGAGATAGTTAGCAGCTAGGGTTTTGAACCCATCAATGGTCAAATACGACATGTGAATGTGCACATCCATCCTTCCTGGTCGAAGCAATGCAGGATCGAGTCTTTCTTTGTGGTTTGTTGTAAAGATTATGATACGTTCATCCCCACAACACGACCATAACCCATCTATGAAGTTTAAAAGCCCCGATAAAGAAAACTACAAAAACCAACGAAAAAAAAACAATATTTACCCCCTTCCGAATTCCAATCATCATGCAGATCAGTAGCAAGAAGATTAAAGAAACAAACCTGCGGAGAATGCTTAGGTTTATCGTGGATATATTTAGAAGGAATGGTTCCCTTCCGATCATGCACTTGTATGCTACAATCAATATCTTCGATCACAATAATGGAGCGATTCGATGTGCTTAACATCAGTTTCTTCAAACTCGAATCACTCCCAACACTGTTCAACTGTAAATCATAAATATCAAACTTAAGGTAGTTCGCCATGGCAGCAATCAAACTTGATTTCCCTGTTCCCGGCGGACCATACAGTAGATACCCTCTCTTCCACGCCTTCCCTACTTTCCTGTAAAAATCCTTTCTCCTTAAAAACAAATCCAAATCCTCCATTATCGCCTTTTTCATCGTTGGATCCATAGCTAATGTATCAAACGTTGATGGATGGTCCAGTTTTACCGATTCCTTTTCTGTTCTATTATAACCGCCGCGATCGAATTGTAGGTTATGGAGCTTCACGACATTCTTCTGGTTTTCAATTTCCTTAGCTTTTTGAAGTATCCATGGCAAGTAAGAATTTATTATTTTGTCTTTATATTCTTTCTCAAATTTCAGTTCGATGTATTTCTTCTCCGGGGTTTCACTGCCGTTAGACCTTTCTTGTGGTGGCACAATGACGTACTTCCATGCAAGTGAGATTCCCTCAAACGAATCTTCTATCGCCTCCCATTTTGCAAACTTAACATTGATGTAATCTTCTTTGGCGGTTTTCGTTATCCTACAATAAGATTTTTAGATTTGAAATTAAAATCTATAAAACAGGAACTAAACATTTGATAATCACCTGAGACAGTTGGAATCTGGTTTCATTCTGGTACAGAGGAAGGCTTCCGCGGCATCGAACATCTGGTTTGGAGAAACGCCGTCTCTCTGGTCGAAGAGGAGAGTGAGTTTTGAGGATTTAGGTTTCCAGTAGAATCGGACGGCGTTGACGACGTATTTTAGGAGTTGTGTTGGGACGAGGTTGTACATTGTGAGCAAAAGCATGACTGAGGGGGCGTATTGTGGGGCATACGCTAACAGCAGCGATAATGGTGTCGCCATCGCCGGAAAACTTAGACCACGAAGCCTCTGCTCCGCCATTACTGTCTGGTTTCCTGGCTAGGAATTTCTTTAGAAGAGGGTAGAAACTAGAAAGATCTTATATACTGATAGTTGCCAATCTTCCGGAATATTTGGGACGCCATTTAATGATGATTAGTTAAAAAAAGTAATGTATATATACAAAATATCATCAGTTTTTATAAAAAGAGAACTGATATTTTCATTTGTTTTTTTTTTCTCCATCCACTTAACAAAAATGTAACTTTCCTTTTGTATCCTTTTGGAAACTACCTTCATCAAAACCCTCTTGTTGATATCTATCCCTTTAATTGATTTCACCCATTATTCTGATTTTGTTCTCGATTTTAATTTTTATTTTACACATTTGATGTGGAAACCCTCGAAATGTGGAAATCCACTTGATGGTTTTGGTTAGACCTATCAAAACATGACAAGATACAAGAACCCGATACGAAATTAGCGGGTTTGGATAGGAGATTTCGACATGTTTATGTAAATGGGTTAACACGACACGACATGATAACTAAACATCTAGGTTAAGCTGAATACTTCAATTCGAAAATAACTTGAATATAACCCGTTTAATTATATATATTTTCTATAAATTTCAAATTTTTATAAATATTTTAAATATTATAGACTTATAGTGGTCCAAACTTTCAAAGTGACTTAATATTATTATTCGTCACTACATATCACATTTTGTCCGCAAATCTAACTTTTTCCATTTTGTTTTCTAAACTTATTATGAGTTTTTTTTTTTCATTCCAACTCCCAAACTCTAGTATTTCATCTTTTCATTTTGCCTCCCCGTCTCTTAATTTTCAACATTTAAAGTATTTCAACCCGACATTACACAACATATTTATAAGGAAAAAACCTAATCCTGTAACGTAACACTAAATCGACACGAAAATAAACGGGTTGACACGATACGACATGATAGTTAAACGTTTCGGGTTAGGGTAAAAAAACAAAATCCTTTTATTTCTTTGTTTCGAAACTAGTGTTTTGAGAGTTTTCAAATTTTAAATTTTAAAAAATAATTCGAATATAGAACAACTTTTTCCAGGAATAGTATTTAATAAAAAGTTGTAGCCTAATATAACAACTTTATTAGTTCACAGTTAAAAATATATTTTTAATAGTTGTGTCTATGTATCCTCCCTAAGACCCGAGGGTATGGGTAGAAAACTCTCCTCACTTTTTGTGGGTCACAACACCATTTCTCTCACTTTTCCTTTCTTCACCTAAACCTAAGGAATGAGTGAGAAACTTCTCTCACTATTTTTTTATTTTTTTAAAAAAATTATATTCCCTACAAATATTATACTCATTTTGTAGGGAATTAAAAACCATGAGTTTTGATATATTTTTTTAATAATTTTTAGTAGGTATATATAATTTAATAAGTATTAAAAAAGATAAAAAAAAAAAAAAAACCTGGCCAATAGGAATACGAGAGAGAGTGAGGGAATGAGCTCCCTCACCTCCTTCCCTCACCACCTTTCTCTCAGTCAAGGTGCGGTGTTCAACTGAGAGGGAAAATTTCCCTCACTCTTTCCCTCGCCCACACCGTCCAGCCTAATAAATAAAAGTAATTTTGTCACTTGTCAAGCTCTCATTAGTTTTGACACTTGTCATTTTTTGGTATTTTTAAATAAATATTATCCATTTATCAATTTCTGATTTGTTTCAATTTTTAAAATTAAAGTCATATGGTTATAGATATATATAAGATATATATATATATCTATATATATATATATATATATATATATATATATATATATATATATATATATATATATATATATATATATATATATGGAAAAGTGAATATCTCTTTAAAGGTATATGCTTAGGTACCCTAATCTACCATAATATGTCGTTTTGTTTGATATATTCATTATAATGTTCTTAAATATCAACCCTTAACTTGATTTACTTCAAAATTTTCGAAATTTCACTATTATCTTGCTCTTACATCACATTTTTTATCGAATACCTACTAAGATATTATATATATACTATATATATATATATCTATATATATATATATATATATATATATATCTATCTATAGTTGAAAATGAAAATTATGTAAGAGAAAGATAATTATGAGATTTATAAAAATTTTGGAAGTAAATCAAGTTAGAAGTTGAATTATAAGAATAGTGGACGATTACAATGTATATATGATATAAACCGACGTAGTATGGTGAGTTTGGGTACCTAAGCTTATATAACCTTAAGGTATATTCAGTTTTCCCTTTTATATATATATTATATATATATATATATATATATATATATATATATATATAAAGTATTAAATATAATATATATGATATTAAATTGTAATGAATACCTTTCTTCCTTTCTTATTTTAAAGTTTTATATTAAACAATATTTACTGTTTACATTTTAATGTTTAATTGTTTTTTAAATCAACTCGTTTAATGCACAGGTCTCACATCTACTGATTTTATATATTTCTAATTTTCAATAACTTTCGGTTATTTTATCGAACACATATTTACAAATAAATTCTAAAACTTTCTTACTATTAGCTAACAGCTTTCAACTAATTTTGGTAATGTAACTTTATTTAAATAATAATCTACTATATACACTTAATAAATCATACAACAATATTTTACATTATTTTAGCAATTTATTCGATCTATTATCAATTCGATCATGCAAATAATATGAACCGTAAAACCATGTTTTTATAATTTAAATGTATTACTCATAAAATATTGCATCTTCTAATTTTATATGAAATCATTTCTTTTTTTGCTTTGTTTAATAAAATAAAAAGAATCTGAAACATCGTTATATATAATCATATTTTAAACATATACTTGAAACGTACTAAATGAGGTGTTGGGAGTAACTTGGTGGTTACTCCTAATTAAACCCGTTATACAAGATATTTATGTTCCTTAATGTGTCTAACTTCATTTAGAAATATAAAAATAAAGAAAAATAAGATAAGAAAAAAGAGAGCAAAATGTTGATTTTTGGAAACTATTTGTTCAAATATGTTTACTATTAAAAAAGAAATTATATTACCCTTTTCGAAAGAATGCAATGTTAAAACTCTGAAATTATATCGATCTTACGATAAAGGGATAATGATTTGAGAGGGTAAGATAATTTAGCTTTCGGTCGCATTTGGTCATTAAATTACTTTAATTAATGTTTTATTTACCCTTGAACTTGTTTAAACGTACACATTATATTAGTATGACCGGGTATAGTAGGTTTTTACCGGTTTTCGTCGTCTTTTCCAGCAAACATTAGTTTTCCAGCCACCTTCTCCGGCCAAACATGAATTTTCCGACGAAGTCCTTTTTAAGGAAGAACAAACCTGAAAATTCCTTGAAAACACAAACACCATCTTAACTCAACTCCACTTCTAAAATCATTTGTGCATCGTGAGTCTAATAAATCGAAACCCATATTATATTTCCAAGGTTTCAAGAGATTTTCGAGTTCTGAAATTCAAGGGTTTCAATGTTTTGAAGTTTTGAAGTTCAAGCTTTTTTTAGTTCAGAAGTTGAAGTTTTTTCTGAGTTTGGTTGTGCTTATCATGTGGGTAAACCCATACCTTAATCGAAAGATCGAAGATGCATCTGTAATATAAATCAGAAATAAAAAAATAAAACTTCAACCTGAACAAACTAAGAACAAACTTGAACATGGAAAATAAAACCCAGAACGTGTTCTTGTCTTCGGTGTGTGTGAATAACCCAGAAAAAGCCCTAAATCTAGGTTTCCTTTTATTGAAACCCAAAATCAAGGTTTCCTTTTACTGAAACCCAAAATCGAATCTAAATCGATGGTTTCCTTCATTAATCAGAAAAATCAATGAGTTCTTGATATGCGTGTTTGTGTGGGAGAAGAACAAGGAAGCCTCATGTTAGTTCTCCAAAGGAAATTGATTGCAGGTGGGTTCTTAATCTTCAAAATCAAATTTGAATCTGAACAAACGAAATGAAGCTCCAAAACAATCTTGATTTATGAAATCATTTAGGGTTTTTTTGGTTCTTGTTCAAAATATAAAATGAAGCTTTGTAATCTAAAATGAATCTTCAAATCTGAAGCGCAAAATTTGTTTGTGTTCATGTTCAGATCTTAGAACTCTACAAAAGATAAGAAAGAGGGAGAAAAAGATAAACAAGAAATCAAAAAATATGTCAAGAACTTATCTCGCCGGAAACTATATTTTGGCCGGAGAAGAAGACCAGAAAAACCATACTTCGCCGGAAAAGACGTCGGAGACCGGAAAACCCCTCTATAACCGATCATAACGGTATGTTTTAAACAAAAAAACAAGTTTAAGGGCCAACAATGCACCAAAAATAGTCAAGTGACCAAATATATACAGTGGATATAGTTGGTTACCCTTTCAAGTCATTATCCCTACGATAAAACAATATTTAGAATGTCACTTACAATAAAAGAAGCTTTTGGATCACCATTCCTCTTATTAATATATCATAGTTAATATTCAAAATGGATACATTTCAGAAAAACACACGTTTCTAATTTCTTTTTCTTAGAAGCGTTTTGTAGTTTTATGATTCTTTTTCTAATCAATGACAATTTATAAGACTAACCATGTGCTAGGAAAACTTTTAAATCCGAAGTTACATGCTTATCACACTACAAAAAATCATGTCATTCTTGCCGACACCTTTAGCGGCGACAATGACTTTTAGTGGCGACTCAAGCTTAAGTCGCCGCTAAAAGCCTTTCTCGCTGCTAAAAGGTCATCGGTAATCCCTTTATGGTTAGCTCCAACCGTTCAATCGAGTACCTAATCCAATGGTTGAGGCCTCCTTTTCGCACAAACCCAATACCGACAAAAAGTCGCCGCTAAAGGTTGAAAAAAGTCGCCGCTAAAGGTCGAAAAAAAACGTGGCATAAGTTCCCTCCATAGTTGTCGCCACTATTGGTTATTGTCGTCGGTATTGGTTTCGAGTCGCCGCTAAAAGACGACGAAC